AAGTAAAACTTTTCCATCTACAATTGATTAGTTAGTGATTTTTTGAATTAAAAATTATAGTTACATACAAAAACATATAAAATAACTCGAAGTATGTAATTTGTAGTTTTGCTAAAGTTATGACATGTATCAGCTTAATAAACCTGTTTCTTGTCATTTCTATTAAAGGTGGACAAATAATGCAAGGAACTTAAGATACATAAAAAGTATTTTCAGCATTATTATTTTTTAATATAGTTGAAAAGGCTGTTCAGTCATACACTTACCAAATGTGGCAAATCAAAGAGACGAATAAATTGTTCAATGTATGTTTAAGCCTAATCAACAAATACAACTGTGATTGAAAAATTCTTAGAAACACTTGATGAAGAAGTAGAAGGTAACTTAATCACTTTTAAAGGAAAGCAGTAATGGTTTTTCTCTGGAAACTTCACTGTTGGGAACTGAATTTAATTAATTTTATTATTTATAACTTTGAAGTAAACTTATGTTTTCTGTTTTATTGTTCTTCATTCTAGTCTTCACTGACCAGGTGCAGACAAACTTTTATCCATGAACTTTCTTCTGGAGAAACATAGCCACCACTGCAATGATTTAAAAACATTACGAGAAATTAGGTTAAACTCAATAATGGGAACAAAAAACACGCTAACATTTATGTTCTTTTGACCACCGATTATACAAGACAGTATGTTAATGTGTGCCTATTCTGATGCTAATGGATCTGTTATTATTTCAAAATAGTGAATTAAAATGGTAGTAAAGAAAAATAAAGCAAAGTATAAATTCATTTAAATATCAAGTTCTGTTAATTTGCCAGCAATAGGACTATAATCTAAAAACTTAGGGTTGATACAACAAGCTATTTTACATAATGGCTGGACTTTCATTATGGTAAACAAAGAATTGGTTTAAATGGAACATCTGTTTGAGCATCCTCACCGAACCTCACGATAGACTGTCTAATCATAAGTAGAAACAATGGGTGATCATGTTTAATGGTTTTGTCGTCTGTTAGGCTACAACAAAATTACAATTAACTTTATTATTTTACAATGTTAGATTATATAGTTTAGATCAGTATCTTTGATTCTATCTTCTGGGTTTCTTACAGGATCTAGTAAACAAAGGGCCGGATTAAGGGGGTGGGGGTGGACGCCCGTGGCCCAGACTTAGAGATGGCTCATAGCTCACCAGTACAGAATTGACATTTTAGGTTGCTTAACGTTTGAAAGACACAAAAGTTAAAAGTCACTGTGGTCATACTAATATCATAATAGTGGAAAATGTATCATGGTACGAAAGTTGACAACCCTAATTGACTAGTGTTCTCTTCCAAGGCATCTAGTATCAAGAAGGCAGGATGTCAATGCAAAATAGGGGATCCATGGTCAGGCCACAGCTCGGGGGCCAGAGTCACCCTTAATCCTTTCCTGAATAAATATCAACATGGACATAAGTCAGAGAATACGGGGTACACCACTTTAAAGCAGTGTGAAGAATTACATAACTCAAAAAATATGAGCTACACTGAACTTAAAGCAGTGTGAAGAATTACATAACTCAAAGAATATGAGCTACACTGAACTTAAAACAGTGTGAATAATTACATAACTCAAAGAATATGAGCTACACTGAACTTAAAGCAGTGTGAAGAATTACATAACTCAAAGAATATGAGCTACACTGAACTTAAAGCAGTGTGAATAATTACATAACTCAAAGAATATGAGTT